TTTTTGACGGTTATAAATGAAAAATCACGATTTAACGGTTATTTTAACTCCGATTTTGATGATTTTTTTATAGCTACACTCTTTGACCCTATATGAATACAATGAACTAATTCGATCGTCAATTTAAAAAATATATTTTCTAATAAAAACCCAATCCAAACAACAATAATATATTTTTCTAACAAAGATTAAAAAAAAAATTATTTTATTTATTTTTATAAGGACTTTGCGCGACGAAGTTAATTGTTTCGTCGCGCAAAGTAGCTTTGCGTGACGAATTGTTTTTCGTCGCGCAAAGTTACTTTGAGCGACGAATTATTTTTCGTTGCGCAAAATTTGGTTGCGCAAGACTTTGAGCGACGACGTATTGTCGTCGCGCAAAAGTGAGGGCAGCCAAGTCACTTTCGTATTGTCGTCGCGCAAAAGTTGGTCGCGCAAGGTTTTTCGCGACGAAATTTTGAGTTTCGTCGCGCAAAGTGTGTTTGCGCGACGAATAATTTTTCGTCGCGCAAAATTTGGTCGCGCAAGGGTTATTTTGTAGTAGTGTATTGCAATACTAGAGACACAAAACAGTCCCTATTGTTATTGGCATCTATATTTTTTCCAATTCATTTGGAGCTTGAGGTTTCAATCTTGGGCTGTGATTTTTGCAGATTATTGGTTTGTCAATTTCTATTTGGAGGGCACATGCAGAAGGTGAGCATACTTGATATTACTTTTGGACTTGTTGCTAATTCATTAGTTTCGAATTGATATTGAGTTTTTTAATTTATATATTGAGTTTTAGATTTCAATATTGGTCCACGATTTGTGCAGATTTTCAGTTTTTGATTTATATTTAGATGCACTTACAGACAAGGATTCTATATTAGTTTTGGACTAGTTGTTGATGTGGTTTAATTTTCAGTTTGGCTATTAGGCTCTAATCATCAATTTTAAGTGAGATTTTAACAAATTGGTTTCTATCTGTCTGACTAATTATTACAAGCAACCATAGAGTTTATACTCTGAGTGTGAGATTAACTGACTACAGCCTAACTAAAACTAAGCATGTGCCTACTAACAACAATACTTACTAAATTTTTTTGATTTCTTGTTAGGTTGTGCTATTGGAAGATATTGAAGATCAGGTTGCTGAGAAACTTGTGGCAATATTCCCAGTTACAGTATTTGATATTGAAGATATTGGCAAAGGTAAAGGATTTGTTTTTAATGGCATTTGTTCTCCAGCTGGTTTAGATACTAGACTGACAACAAAGAATTAGTCTAAAAATGATGCAATGCTGTAGGTTTGTCCCAATATATGGGTTTCAAAAACTATTGTTATATTTACCCTTGCACAATTTGTTTGCCTTGTTTGTCATTTTCTGGAGTGGCTTGATTGATGATTTCACTGGTTAGCAGGTAAAAAGAGGGCTACTATAGCCAGGCACACTCTGTAGGGAATGCAGAGAAGGGAAGGGATGGGAGAATGCAATATCATTACTGAGTAAGAAGGATAATTTCATTTGCAAGTAATTTCCTCTGTAATCAAAGTTGGAATTATAAATTTCTAGTAGTTTCCTCGTTATTGTAAGTGTCCCAGAAATGTAGTGGAAGTAATCGCTAATATATGAAATTTGTGTTTCAATTCTTTTATTTGTAAAAATCACTTGCTCAGGAGTAAAAAACGGCGTCTATGCACGAGACAAAAGTATTCAATTTTTTTTTTCTACTATAGAAGTCATTAGGCACTGATCTTCAGTGCCAAGGGAATGCATTAGGCACGGATGTATTTCATTAATAGAATGCTTTAACGTGTATTGGGTATTACGAAAATGTGGGACCCATTGCAAACATTAGGCACAGAGATTTATAATCAATGACAAAATATCAATAGAGGACCCCTTTAAAAGACACTGATATACATCATTCCCTAATACTACAATAGGGACTGTTTTCAGTCCCTAAGAGCAACTCCACCCATTTGCCCTTAATCATGGCAAGGTGGGAACTAGGGCTGCCACTATTCATGTGAATAGTAGTTGCCTTACAAATAGTATTTTCCGTTTCCACCCGTTGCCTTGGCAAAGGGCAATTACTATTCATTTTTTTATTTTTTCACAACTTTTTTTACCACAATAATTAATTTAGATAATATTTTCGGGTTCTTACGTGTTAATACTATTCATATCTCATAATCGGATAAAATTTTCAAATTCAAATTTCAGATAAATTTTTTAAAAAAAATTGGCTGGTATTTATAGAAAAAAATTCATTAATTTTTGGGTATTTTTTAAAAAAATTTCTGAATTTTTTTCAGTATTTTATTGCAAAAAAATTGGCTACCGTTGGATTGGAGGAAAAAATCAGATCGGAAAGCACAGACAACGCCACGTGGCAACAGAAAAAAAAATATCAAATCGATGGGGGTACTGTAGCAGCACTGTAGCGACGATGTCAGCAGCCCTCGATTTGGACCTCGGGCTGAAGCTGCCTTCGGGCCAGCCCGAGTTGGTGGGTCCCACACCTCTCCCGGGCCTGGGTTGACCACTGGAACAACTTTTTTTTTCCCCCCCAGCCTTGGACTAGGCTGTCCACTGGACTTGCTCTAAAGAAGGCAAAAGAGACTGATAACCCTCAGTCTATTTTGAGCCTTTTTTTAGTAGTGGTGAGTGATAAATTGCAATACTTTATATAGTTTAGGTGGTTAATAGTAAAAATTAAAAGTTCATGTGGTAACTGTACATGTGCCTAAAAGTTAAGGTGTATTTATGCAAATTTCTCAAAATAAGAGTAATATTTTCACTAAATTCTGGACTCTAAAGTCATTGTCCATCAAATTTCATGTCCTTACAAGTCCCAACAGAATGGTTAGGCATGTAAAGAATCGACACTTGTTTGAAACTACTCTTACTTTAATGGCAGAGGCCTTACTTCCTCAACATTTTTGGTTTCATGTTGTGGCTCATGCTACTGAGAGCATCCACAATGAGCTCCTTAAATCAACTCATTAGACAAATTTTAGGAAGAAATCGTAAAAATGTAACTGCAACCCCGCTCCCTATCCACCTCCTAAAATAGGGAGTTCTCTAAGAGCTCCTAAATCTTAGGAGAGAGAAAGGACTCCTAGTGATTCCCTATAATTTAATGCTGCTTTATTTAATGAGTATTTCAAACCTTTATTTAATGGTAACTATTTTTTAATTTATTTTTTAATAGAGATAGACCAATTCAAAAAGAATTATAGCGTTTTTGACTCTCCAAATTATGGAGTATGGTTGGAATTGAAATTTTTTAGAGAGCTCATAAAATAACTTTCTTATATTTTTAGCTAAATTTTAACTAAGAAATAGAGAGTATCATTGTGGATGCTCTTACCTCATTAATCGAATGCCAAGTAGAGTACTCGCAAATCACTCTCCTTATTTTAGATTGTTTCATCAACATCCAAATATTCAGCATTTACGAATTTTTGGTATAGCTGTCTATCCTTACCTTAGGTCTGCCAATCAACATAAGCTTCAACCTAGAACTACTTTATGTGTTTTCTTGGGATATTTACTGGGATATGAAGGAATTTTGCGCTTTAATATTAGCACTATAGTCAGTTACTCGTCTCTTGAGATGTGATTCATGATGACACACTCTATCCTTTTAAAACTAGCAGTATGTTCAAGTGTGTATCTCAATCTGAGTCTTCTTCAGTATCTACTGCTCCAGTTTGTGTGCATTTTTGCCTTATATTTCTCAAGAAGTTCTTCAACTTATCACACTAGTTCAGAATCATTCTCAGCCAGAGATTCAATTTCTTCTCCTAATGGTGTTTCGCCTCATCTGGTTGATTATACTCATTCTTCTATGCTACCAGTATTTACTGATAAACAATTAGAGGTGTTAATTCCTCCTATGGCTTCTACTGGTTCTACTATTCATTCTGAGGCAAGTTCTAGTTCTTCTTATAGTATATCTTCAATGGATGACCCTCTATTGCTCTGTGATAATTTGTCTGCCTTGGCCCTTAGCTCCAATCCTATATACCATTCTTGGATAAAACGTATGGATATCGACTCTCACTTTGTTCTCATTCTGTTTTCAGGCCCGACTTTACTGGGCCTTCAAACGAATGAGAGTCGACAAATTTTGAGTCAAAATTCGATCAGGTTAGCCCAACTCAGTCCTAAGTCAAAGAAGAAGGAAACGTAAATCAATCTGACCCCAACACGTTTACATCGTAAGATTTGTTGCTCACGGAAATCTCGGTCTTCGTTTCTTGTCTTTTAACATTGGCAGCCTACAAAATCACTGAGAAAAACGTTTAAAATTACTTCTTCCTTTTTTTGTTTGGGGTGAAAAATATCCTACGTAAAATACATAGATCCTAGTGCCAACGTGTACCATGTGAATTTCGAAGTGGTGATGTTCTTAGCATAACTTGTTAGGGAAACAACTTTGTGTCTTAGAGTCCAAGCTTGTGTTCCACCTATATGTCCTTTGTAATGATAATGTTTGTTTTTTCAATTTAGATTGCCGTTCATGTATACGTTCAATTTAGGGCATGTTTGAGACTGTTTATGGAATGACTAAACACGTTTTATGAAAACTAAAGGCATCTTTGACAAAGTTTGACATAAAACTTAAAAGTCATTATGAGTCATAAAATTGTTTTATGAAAAACACCTCTGGAGAAGTAAGAAGGAATTGAATTTTTAATAAATTTTTTGACATGTATTTCTAATAAAACCTTTTATGAGCATAAATGTTTCCTATAAAAGCAGTTCCCGATGTGAGTTAAACTCTTTTGTTCATTTTCTATACAAACTGAGATTATGGTAGAAGCATAAAATCCTGTCCTGATCTACAATCCCAAAACCCTAGTTGGGTTCTCTGCATTTTATTTCCTATAGAAAGCTGACAAGTCACTGATTCAAAGGTGGGAAGGATAAGAATGAAATGAGAGAAGGATTTCTGTTCTTCTAACACAGACTCATGAACATGGGTCTCACATTCTTCTAGTTTGAGGGATGTGCTGGCATGTAATGTATTCTATAGACAAGACAGAATTTATGTAGATACTGAAAAAGGCTATTGATCTCTCATGCTTAAGTAAGAATAAAAATGTGGGTTTTAGTTTTACATTATCTAACAATTGTAAAATAAGCTCATCTGTATTCTGCACTAAAAGTCAAGATTTTCATTTGAGACACAATGACAAGTAAAAAAATAATATTTTTTTTGAACGACCAATGTACCAACCCCATTTTATAATATTTTTTTCCTCCTATATTAAATGGAAGCTTCATACCCTTTTACATGAAGATTTTACGTCCTGGAAATCTACCATTTTCAACTTTGATACAATTTTAAATCCAAGAAATTTGTCCTTCTGCTTGTTTAATTAGAGTATTAATAGTCATAGTTGCATAGGTGCATGACACATTTCATTCTAGCATCTATAGGCAGGCCTTTATTCTCTCTCTCTCTCTCTCTCTCTCTCTCCCTCCACTTTTGTTATGGATCCCTTTAGAAACATTTTGAGCATAGAAGGATGCAGCAGTAGTGAATCAGGTTGGACAACATACATTGCATCTCCCATGCAAGAAGATGATGCTGAATGCAGTAATATTGAAGATGCTGATTATGACAACCATAATCGCATTACATATCACAAAAAGGATAAAATTGGCAAAGATGACAACGAGAGTGATGATTCCATGGCTTCTGATGCTTCCTCTGGCCCAAGCCATCATCACCACCTTGTTTCTTCTAGAAGTAAAGACAGCAAAGCCGCAGCTGGATTCGGTTCCAAGCGCGACAACAAGGAGTCTAAGCACAAGAGCACAAGAAAACAAGAGAAGAAAAGTGGTGAAAAGAGCACCAAGAGGAAGTGAGAACTCAGTGCTAGGTCATGACACTTGAAGGTGGTGCTGCTACCAGTCCTGCTCAAAGGGGGCAAGTTATAGTTGTTAATTAAAACTATAAGCTTGCAGATGAGAAGAAAATGTATATTCTTTCTTTTATATCTACCATTTCAGACAAGGAAGCATACATATTTCATTTTTCTTTCACAGAGTTCTTGATTCCACCAATCCTTTTTAGAACTTATGCATCTCATGGGACATTCTTAGCTGTTCTAGAGGAGAATCAGCTTGGAGCTGTTCTAGAAGAGAACCAGCTTGGAGCTTACAACAGTAATCAGCATAGAGAAACATCATGCGAAAGCGTCAGGTTAGATTTTGTCATAATTAAGGTCAGGAGATAAGTTACTGTTATTTTGTTATGCAAGCATGAAATCATGATGTCTAGCTCAATTTCCTTCCCGAAAGAAAATACTAAATAAAATTGTTGTTTGCTTATTAGTTGGTACAACTGAGGTAGCAGTAGGTTGTAGTAAGGTGAGCAGGGAAGATAGTTCTACAAGTTTACTCGTTACAAATTTTCTCAACAATAATGTATTGTGTATGAGTGTTTGTGCCGCTGTCTCATGTGTCTATATGAACCAATATTGTGTACATTCGCTGGAAAGAAGAAAGATCAAAAAGACACATGTGGCTATTTGCCCCCAAAAAAGAAATTACCAGTAAAGCTTCCCAATTATGATGCAGAATGTGTAAGTTATAAGCTATGAACCCAACAGGGTGTATATTGTGCTGGAAAGAAGAAAGATAGACATACAAAGACAAATGCCAACTATGAGTAGTTCTGCCCCAGATGTGCAAGCACAACAGCAAAGCAAATACCAAATATGGGCTGTCCTTCAACTTCAAGAATATTCTAGCACATATAAAAACAGAATCTGTCATTTTTAACAAAATCTGTCTGCAGTTAGATATTGCCCCAGTTCGTAAGAATGAGAAGAATGTTGGGTGTAGTTTTGGAAAATAAAATGACCAAATGATAAATCTCAGTCACTTCTAACAACAGAAACCAAATGATATATCAACAAAACCAAATAAATTGGTTTTTTTTAGTACAAGCGATAGTCTAAACTACAAGAGAGGGAGATTTCTCTCACACACACACAACCAATATGCCATGGAGTTTCGAACTTGAGACCTCTCGTCTACAAGTCAAAGTCCTTTTTCACTCGGCTAGACCCTGTTGGCAAATTCAAATACATTTAAATGGGAAAGAAGAATAGCTCTTCCTGCAATTAACATCTCTTGTGATCATAGATTATCAGGAGAAGTTAGGACACAAATTTACGAATTCTTTGGAGAAATGAGAATTGAATTTAATAGAGAAACTGAAGAACACGTCTCTTTGCCTTGCCTTTTGTCTTATTATTCATCTAGGTCAACACCAAGGATCAGATCTTAAAAAAAGTATCCCCACCAAGAGATTTTTGTGGTACTTTAGTATTTGGGAATATGGTTGGTTACAACTGAAGGCAATATGAACACTAGTTTTAACATGTGGAATATAGTTCTTTAGAGCATGGGTGGAAAAATGTTCATGCTTGACAACCAATTTAGGCTTTCTGGGCCCTAATGCACAGCTGTGGTAGGTAGCTCACCAGATTTGGTTAATTTAAAGTGAATTAGCACATGCTAGCCGCATTATTCAGATCGGGAAACGCATTTACATCCAAAAAGCAAAGTAAAAAAAGCATTCAATAATGGGAGGAAAAATTACAAAGAGGAAAAAATAAACCTGCAGAACATTGAGAAATATAAGAAAGTTTCTTCATTGATTTTCATCTTCCAACATTACAGTTTCGGAGTGCTACCCCACAGTCCTCCACAATGACCAGAATTATATCTTCCAAAAATGAAAAGGAGCTGTGGGGGGTACAGATCTGCCAAAAGTACAAGCATAACAAACCAAATCTAATGCACACTCCGTGATTTAAATAAATTGATAAAAGAGTTGGCAGAAGCTCTGCCCAGCATAAAATCGTCAGCAGAAATTATTGGGATAAAGGAGAGTTCTGCTTAAGTAGAATGCCAAAGAAGATGGACTTAAATCTTTGACTGTTTGGCAATTTTGAACCATTCAGTATGGAAAGCACCTTCTACATCAGTTCTTTCATATGTATGAGCACCAAAGTAGTCTCGCTGAGCTTGGACCAAATTAGCCGGCAGTCTCTCCCTCCTGTAGCTGTCAAAATAAGCAAGACTAGCTGACATACCTGGGGTGCTGATGCCTGAGTTGATAGCAAGGCATACCACCCTTCTCCAGGCAGACTGCCTCTCAATGATCTCCTTCGAAAACTCTGGGTCCACAAGAAGATTTGCAAGATCAGCATTCCTATCATATGCCTGCTTAATTCTGTCCAGGAACACTGCTCGAATGATGCAGCCCCCCTTCCAAATCCTAGCCAACTCCCCCAACTTCAAGTCCCATCCCTGCTCAATACTCTTTGCACGGATAAGATTCATCCCTTGTGCATAACTGCATATCTTGGATGCATAAAGAGCTTGCCTCACATCATCGATCAACTTTGCCTTATCCACCTCTGGGGCAGTCAAGATATCACCAAAACCAGCTGATTTGAACACTTTAGCTGCTTTAACCCTCTCTTCCTTTAAACCACTGAGGAACCTTGCATCCAAAGAAGATTCAATTGTGGGAGCTGCAACTGATAGTTCAGCAGCTTGCTGAACAGTCCATTTACCAGTACCCTTCATGCCAGTCTTGTCCAAAACCTTGTCAACCAAATATCCATCTCCCTTATCATCCTTGATTCCAAATATATCTGCAGTGATTTCAATCAGGAAGCTCAGAAGCTCGCCCTTGTTCCACTCTGAGAAAACGCTTCGGAGTTCCTCATTTGACAGCTTTCCAACTGACTTCAGTACATCATAAGCCTCTGCTATCAGCTGCATATCACCATATTCAATACCATTATGAATCATCTTAACAAAGTTACCAGACCCACCTTTGCCAATGTAAGTCACACAGGGGCCACTGTCTGGAACTTGAGCTGACACCTTAAGAAGAATGTCTTCAATGTACTTATAGGCCTCAAAGGATCCTCCAGGCATCATAGAGGGCCCATATCGAGCCCCCTCTTCACCACCTGAAACTCCCATTCCAAGGTAAAGAAGACCTAATTCAGCCATTGCTTTCGCCCTCCTCTCAGTATTCTCATACCACTCATTACCTCCATCAATAATGCTGTCACCCTTCTCCAGGTAGACGGAGAGGGTCTTTATGGTCTGGTCAACAGGTGCCCCAGCCTTGACAAGCATGATAATGACCCGAGGTTTCTGGATTGACTTAACAAAAGATTCAGGATCATGGAAGCCATAAAGGGGAAGATTTCCTTCATTTTTAGCTCGCTCAACAGTCTCATCAACTTTGGAGGTAGTTCTATTATATACTGAAATGGGGAAGCCTTTCTCTGCAATGTTGAGGGCCAAATTTTGGCCCATGACAGCCAAACCAGCAAGGCCTATTCTTGTAGGTTTCGGTGGTGCAGCCATCTTTTCCTCTGTCTGACATTTGGAATTGTTACTTAGTGTCAGACGAGACAGAAAAATATGAAATACAGATCTAAGAAACCTTAGTCCGGAAAACAAAATGTCAGGATGATTTGATGAAATCCACAAATTGCGAATAGATCTTAAACATAATTTCACAGGGAATCAATATGTATCTGGATTAGTTCACTGATAAAGAGTAATCATGCATTCCTAGCATTATATATAAGATCAACGATATTAAACATAAAACATATGAAGCTCAGATGGATTATACTAAAATAACAAATCTAAAGAACAAAGACGATACTCCAGTAACAATCCAGTAAACACTCACTTATACAGTACAATTGTTACGATCGAGTCAACAGACAAAAAAAAGGCCAAACTTTTACACTAGAGTATATCCCGTAAAGCTAACCAAGTTAAACGAGACCCACTTATTCTTTACTTATTGATAAAGACAAACAAGCAAATGAGAAGGGCAGAATCTTCAAATTCTAGAACCCATCAACCAAAATGAGTGGACGAACTAAAAAGCATGATCTAACAAATCTGAAAAGACCCAAAAGCCACAGATCAATGCGAAATCATATTCAGAGTTAAGATCATGAGCAAATCGATACCACAATAGTAATACAAACATAGATCAGCAATGGGAGCAATCAAAAACAAACGCTCTGCTTGATCAGAGAAAACCAATTGAAAATTTAGAAAAGCTAGAGTCTTTAACTGCTGTAATAGAAGATAACGATTCAATTGCATTTACAACGAGTTTTCAGCAACCAACCAAGCATAGCAGAGTAAGCGACCATTTTGATCAAAACCCAGAAAGCGAAAGGATACAAACCTGAAAGTTTTCTTCTCTAACGAAAGAACTGGATTGAAAATCTGAGCAAAACCAAGAAGGCGAAGATCTGGGTTAGGCAGACAACAACGATTAATAATTGTGGAAAATATATATATATATATATATATATATATATATAACGCAAGAAGGAAAGTGTTCACCTTTTATTCCACAGAAGGTTTCGTCTTTGAGAGAGAGTCAAGATTGGCCACTGGTTGGGTAGGTGAGGTGAGGTGGACAAGCCGTCGTCGAAGATGGGTTAGGTGAAGAATTGAAAGTCCAATTACCAATATAGGCAAGAGAAATTTCATTCTTACGTGTATTATTATAATTTCGTTCAACATATGTCACACATTACATCATTAACCATTGTTAACATATAACTCAAGAGTCTTGATTCCATTAAGATGGGAAATTCTTTTTGGGTGTAATGGTTGCACTACGAGTGTTATAACATCATGTGTGATCATATGGAAAAATTTCTCGAATTCAATACCCACGTTATGGTGTGAACATACTTGAGAACAAATATATTTTCATTTTTAACATAATTTTGGAATTATATAAGAAAATAAATTTATTTTATGAGATTTCTAAAATAAAGAATTTGAAATGG